ATGCTTGATTGATTGTAATTTAGTTACAAATTGCTGTTTATTTCAAACATTACTACTACAGTAATATTTAAAATAAGTGTTTAAATAATTTCATATAAATTATAATTTAGTGATACATAGAATTTGGATTCAAAAAGCTGTAGTGAAGACATACAAAGTTACTGTTCATTCAATCACTTTATATGCGGTATTTGATGCAAATTGATTTGATATAAGAATTGAATGAATATTACATATAATGATGACATTTACATTTGATGCGGTGTTTACTCTTATTATTGATGCATATTTTGTTTCATTGAAATATGAATATAAATTAAAACTATTTCTTTAGGCATTCATTAAAACAGAATTTGGGAAAGCATTGGCATTGAATTGAGTGGTCATAAGTAGTAAACAATTGAATTCATGGACACTAACTATAACTACAAAAATTAAAATTAATAAATAACACTGATATTTATCTGTTTTAATTTTATATAAATATTTCAAGTATATTTAATATTAAATAAAAAATTTTAATTTAAATCTTTTGTTAGTTAATAAATAAACCATAAATTTTTAATTTATTAGAAAAGAATAAAACAAACGCTTGTAAACATGTAAAAACATATAAAAATTATATCGCAATTATAATGATTTATTTGCTTTCAAATAATTATCCAAAAATGTTATCTTTATTTTATACCAATTGCTATTTGAACACTAAAGCGACTGAACTACTGATTATCTATGTTTTAAATATAAAAGCAAATTGATTATCAAATCGAAACACGATTCCTTACATGTGATCACTGATCCAGGTGATATTTCGAGTCACAACTCCCATAAGACTTACAGTAGAATCGTTTATTTACAACACATGGAATTGCATTCAACAAAACAATATAAAATAAACACTCGATAAATGAATACTGAAAACATTTATTATTGAAAGTAATTTAATATATAATAGATTATTACAAATTAATATTTCTTAATTAATTTGAAATACAGACATAATTAACGACAACACTTGCAAAGTGAGTAAATTATGGGAATAAATATAGCATTAGTTGTAATAAAGTAGAAAATTTGGCAAAAGCTAATCGATTCCCATAATTACACATAATATACAAAACCATTAATTCCCGGATTGATTATTGATAAAATAAACTGAATATTAATAATATAAATCTTAAGCTAACTATTAGTTTCCAAAAAAGTAAATAAATATTAAAATTAAAGTTAAATTCATTTAAAATTCAGCAAAAAATCTTTGCTAAACTCATTGGCAATAAAAAGAAAGAAATAAATTGAACAGAAAAGTCGTTAAAAGATTAAAATGGAATGCATTATAAAAATAGAGAAATTAGTGAACGGATATGAGTTCGAGACTGTGGTCCACATCATAGACATCCATAGCAGTGGAGTCGCCGTCGTTGTCGTGAATGTCGAGAATGGCTGAAATGCGGCCCCAATTTGGCAAATGCTGCAGCATTTGTAGGGTATATGCGGGCACGTAATACAATAGGGCTGGCATTTTGAACCCATTGAACTCAGAGCCCGCGCAGATAGTGTAGGCGCCCATCTCTTTGAACAGAACCCACTCTCCGATATGCATCTCTGGCATCACTACATCTCGTTTGATGCAATCCATGCTATCGCATGTCGGGCCCCAAAGTGTGGTCAAATGTGTTTGGCGCTCATCCATCGACCCATCGATCGGGAAGGGAATCGGATCGACAATCCAGTGATCAAATATAGTACAATTGAATGAGCCGTAAACGCCGTCATTCAAGTAATACATCATTGCTGTCTGATCTTCCATCGGAACACTTCTTTTGGCGATTATATTAGTGGCTAATGTGAAAGCAGAGGCCACCTAAACAACACATCAGCCATTAGTCTTATTCGTCAAAATGTTATATCAATTGCTTAATATCTTACGTAATAACGTCCGGGTTCTGCAATGATTGTCACATTGGACTCATTTCCCAACTCATCGACAGCAGGGAAATGGATGTCGAGTGCTTTTGTGACGGCTTCAGCCGTATCTTCGAACCTAACTTTGGTCACTGAAGTGCCGGGAAATCCGCCTCCTATTCAGATAATACATGGTTTTAATAAAATTCTAACAAAAACCGAAAGACAAAACAAACCGATGTCGAGGAAAGTCATTTTGAAGCCCAGTTGTCGGCCCAAATCAAACACATATTTTGCATTAGCGATGGCTTCGGTGTAGGCGTCGGCGCTCTCGCAGCCGCTGCCGACGTGGAAACTGCAGCCAATGATATTGACGCCAATATTTTTGGCCGTCTGAAGCAATTGCGGCACTTTTTCGATATCGGCGCCGAACTTGAGGCCCAATCGGCACACGGCGTGACTGTCGTCTACTTTGATTCGTAACACCATTTTGGCGTTTGGATGAAATTGTCTCACTTTTAAGAGCTCGAGCTCGTTATCAAAGGTCATTACATCGACGCCAACGTCTGCCGCGTGTTTTATGAATGATTTGGTTTTGCATGGATTGGCATAAATGATACGGTTTGGAGTGACGCCAATATTCATCACTGCATCGATCTCGTTCTGCATTACAAACATATATCATATATATTGTGTCCTAAATCAAGCATTTCATGCATCGGTCATACCTTTGAAGCGCAATCAAAGCCCACTCCCAGAGAGGATAGGAGTTCGAGTACAATAGGGGTTGGATTGCATTTGATCGCATAGTAGGGCTGCACTCGAGGCATATTAAGCAACCATTTCTTATGCTTTCGCAGAATGTCTTGGATGTCCACCACATAGAAGGCCTCTTCGCTGTTGTCCTCAATGATGGTGTCTCTAACGATGTCCTCCACAGATGGAGTCAAACCGAAATGTTGTCCTAACACTGAAGTCTTCATTTCTTTCTAACTCTAATAATAATTTGTCGTCAAAATAATCGATAGTTTATTGTGTAATTGAGAGGTTAATCAAATCAAATCCAGGAAATTATGGTGCAAGTGGTCTGTCATTGCAATCATTATCATTAGAAGTGACATTCAATTCCTCGTCCAGTTGTAGAGCACTTACCCGTCAACTATAGTGTCTGTAATTCAGTGACTAATGGGTCTCAGCTATGCCAAGGAGGCGCCCCCTGACACTTGCGGGCTTCGAAGAAATACGCAAAGACTGTAATACGGGGAACTTGGACAAGAAGCCCCTGTAACAAACCATTCCAAATATTAGTCAAGGTAAATTACATTTTTCATTGACATCATTAAATTTTGTTAATACATTTTATCATAATTTTTATAATATCTAGATTTTATTTATTTTTAATGTTTACTATTATAGCTGTTGAATAAAAATGTGGACAAATAGAATATAACATGGTTAACAAAATATTGTAAGAATATAAATATGTGAATTTGTGCCTAATGCAGAATCAAATGGATTATATTTGTTAAAACAATATGTAGTTTGCAATCATGTAAATGTATGAGTTGTCTGGGCTTTTATTATGGGAATATATGAGTGTACAAGTATTGGACGGTTTTGACAATTTGATCTCTAGTACAGAATCTGATTGAATGGGAAACACGTCTTGTATTGGAGAGTACAGACAAGACTGGGAAACAGTGATACAAGAGATCCAGTTTAGACCTACAATACTTGTTCACTTCAGTTCATCAGAGAATTCACTCTCAACCAGATATTTCTGGTTTAGTGCTGTTTACTGTCATATTTGGGTTTTGCACTCAAATCACATCTCAGTTATTGAGGTTTGATTTGCCAAAAATTTAT